CATATTTAGGCTCATCCCTCTCCTCTGCTGTAGCCTTTGGTGCAAGGCACAGATTGCAAGTCATGTTTGCATCAGTGCTGGACCTGGGCAAATCTTCCCCCTGAACTATCTACATTAAATTTAACTTTTTAACAGAATTATGCTCACTATATTGGAAGCACATCAACAGCCTCCAACTTCAGGTGATACTGCCTGAACATCTTTAATACCCTCCTTTTTTCCCAAAATTCAAAAGGCTGTTCATGCATTGTCCTGGAGGGGGTGAGGGGAGGGACAAGAAGGAAATAGATTCCATGGTGCTGAGGTGATTAATGTTTATGATGAAGGAAATGAAAACTAAAAATCTGGGTAAGTAATGATCTTTCCAAGTGAATGCCTTTCTCTGGAACCACAATACAAACTCATGGACCAATTTCCTTTAAATTACTCCTAAAGTTCCCAAAGCAAAGCATGGATGACACTGAAATTTTTTTTCTTCCATATTGGTTTTCAGGAACACAGAATTCCCATCGATTTCCAGGAGTTCACTGCGAGGTGCCCACATGCCACCACCTCTCTTTAAAACAGGAGGTGCTTTGGTGGTAGGATGGAGTAGAAGGGCTTTAGAGGCCCTTTCCCGTTTTCCATTGAGCTGGAGCTGAGTGTGCTCAGGGGGAGGAACAGGACTAACACTGTTTTTGATGGAGGTACGAGCCCAGCAGAGCAGCTTGGGAAGGATCAGTTATCCACGTGCCAGACATTTATCCCTGGCCATGGTGACTTCCCTGGCCTCAGTTATCGCAGTATATAAAGGCTTCACAACTGCTAATATATTTATCTTCCCATCCTCCCCATGGAGTTGGGAATGCTGTTACCTCTGTTGCAGAACTAAGAACTGAGATTAAGGGTCAGATTTGTTATGGCATTTAGGTGCTCAATGGGATTTTCAAAAGTAGCTAACACCCGCTGTAATAAGTGGAACTTGGGAACTTGGATAGCTCTGAAAATCCTGTTACTTGTGTCTTTTTTTTTTTAAAAATTTTGGACTTATATGAAACCTTGGGATCCAGAGGAATAGCTCCCAAGTTGTGGGGAGTCTCCCAGACAGGAGAATGTCTCTTCATCCACCTCCCAGGAGACTGCAGGTGGGAGAGAAGTAATTTCATGGCAGTGGCTTATCTCAGTGCTGAATTCAGCAAGCTGTGACTGTGCACAGCATTGCATTTACCCTTCTTGCCCAGCTCTGGGAGAAAGGTCAAAATCCAGTCCTGCAAATACTGGAGCAAAAATAAGCAGCACCCATGGTCAATAAAAAGGGCTTATGTGCCAATTGCTGGGATGGAAAATTCAAGAGCAGGAGCAAATAATGAAACAATCTATATTCATGCAGCCACCTTTCCAGCCTACTGCTCTAAGTACAGGCTTACACCTCACCAGGAGATGGGAATCCCACTAAAAGCTCTGGAGTATCACACTGGAAAACAAATGTTGATTTTGAATGAATTATCTGTTCATCTCTAAATCATTTTCTTTCATTATTAGTCTCCAAATTGGTTCTGCTCTGCAAGGCAGAATTAGGTTTAAAAGCAGAGCGTCTCTTAAACGCCTGCTTCAAATGAAAGTGTTCAGTAAACATTGCTCAAACCCCCAGAGCATAAACTCCTCAGCTGCTTTCTCTGGCTTTGCATAGATTTTGCAGCTCCTGGTTTATGGTCAGGTGGCTCAGGGATTCATTCAGGATATCAGAAAATAATCAAATGAAATCCCTTACAAACATATGCCCCTTAAATACCAAGGAAACAATTTTTAAGACCTTCCTGTTCTCCTTTACAGTAGCATAAACTGGGACAAGAGTCCCAAAAAGATGGATTTACAGCAATATGGAAATTGGAGGAGAGAGAAGAGCCAGGCTCCAAACCACAGCACAAACACAAAGCCATGTGGGCTGCAGACTAAGGTGTTCATGATTGAAAGAGCTGCACTTTGCTGTCCTGGTATTTTCAAACATTTCTGTAGTTTTAAGGTTCTAAAGGTTGTATTTTCAGCATTAAAGGGTTGGGTTTGGTTGAATCAGTGTGAATCAGGATTGCAGCTGTCTGAGGCTGTGGTTTGGGATGGTGGGATGGGGGTCCATGAGGAGGGTGATGGAGCAGCAGCAGAGCCCTGGCTGTTGTGGTGTCCTTGTCTCACATCACACCATGGGCTGTTCAGAGGGTCCTTTGTGCCTCCATGAGGAAAGAAGCTCTGCATGGATTAGAATGCATCCAAAAATCACATGGTTTTCAGCAGTGTTTGCAAGATGCTGTTATTCCACTTCTTCAGGTGGAGGAGGGAGAATAACTCCATCACTTTGTTACCTGTGAAAGAGAATAAAACTTTGGGAGCAATGTTGTCTAGGACACTCCTGATCACTGGTGGTTTATTCAAAGCTTGAATTTTAACTCAGTTGGGTGTTTGGGGGATCTGTGTGCACAGGATGTGCAAGAAGCTCCTCTATTGATCCTCCCCCAAGACTTCCACAGCTTTCCCAGCTCTCCTCTCCCTCCAGTGAAGGTCTGGGACAGGGGGGCTGCTCCTGCACAGAGCAGGAATTGAGGGCTGCTGCAAAGGAGTGTGTTTGCACTGTGCTGTCTGAGCACTGTTTTGTACCTAGGAGATTTATTTCTCAGTGGATAGAAGAGCTAAAAGATTAACAGATGAACAAATAAATTGAGACAGCCAGGACATCAAAGAAATTGGAGAGTCACTGAGATGCTGGAGAGCTGGAGTCACCAGGCCGTGTTCTTAGGAATTATTTTATCCTCAGATTACCTCAGCTGTCTTGGTGTTTGGACACATCCTCTGGAATTGGACACATCCTCTGGTGAATTTAGCTCCATGATTTAACTGGCCCAAGCTCTCTGCTGCTGCTCCTGAGGATCCTGCCTGTGGAGCAGAAGGGATGTGTGCCAGACCCTGCAGCACAGATCCTGGGGCTTAGGGCAAGCAGAGGGTGCTTTGTTCCTCAGGGCAAACACCAGCCTGTGAGGTACACCAGGGGTGAGAGTGTGCTGAATCCCTGGGCAGAAATCTCCAGGGAAAATACAGCTCAGACAGCTTTTTGTCCTCCATGCAAGCTGCAATTCAGTCAGAAAAAAAAAAAAAGGGATTTACAGCAGCCTTAACCTTAGGTTCTTCACACAGGAGCCAGCTGAGGGGTGATAGCAGAGGAAGGAATCAGAAGTTTACATAAAATGTGGCTTCTCTGCAGAAAACAAAAAGCAGCTCAGAAAGGTTGTACAGGGCTCCTAACCATGAGACCACACTCATTCCTTAGGCTGCATATGCCTCAATTGCTCCCTGAAATTTAGATTTAGTTAAGTCAGCCACGAAATTATGGATAAGTTTGGGGTCTTGAGGGAAAGGTGTTCAAAAAGCAGCAATATGAAGACACAGAGAGAGGGAAAGTCGTAACTTGAAAAGTGCCACACAGAGGGAGCTGTGCCTGTGCTTTATTGAGCCGTTGGCTGCAATAAATACAGCTGAATTCCCTCAGTCCCCCATAATGCTGTCTCAGTACCAGCAGGAGTCCATTTAAGAACACACTTACATGCACAAATGATTATATATATGGAAAGCAGAGAAAGAGCTGATGCAGGCAAACCCTGAGAGCTGCCCAGGGGAGCTGGGGGTGGCGCTGGGCTGCCCCTGCCCAGCTTTGGTCAGGGCTGCCAGCCCCAAACTGGCAAAGCAGAGCAGCTCCTGCTGCAGCCCTCCCTCCTGCCTCACCTGAGGACACCACAGCCTGCATCTGGTGACCCTACAGTAAATAAATGAGGATGAAATCAACTGAGAGGATATTCCCAGACAGGGAGAGTTGTTTTTTAATAACCATTTGCAATACAGAGAGTAATAAGAGACTGTATTGTAAATAAGAAAGAGACAAGTATAATAGAAGAACTGAAAATGGATGATGAACAAGAAAGGCTGAACTTTGTGCTTCTGCACTTTACAGCATTAACCTTGAAGTTAAAGGGCTGGAACAGGGCTGTGTTAAAGGGCTGTCAGAGGCCTCTGCAGTGTATCCACATTTAGGAGGGGCTGAAGCTCTGCAGAGCACATGGTCATGCCTGGTATGATGTGAGCCTAGGACTGGAGACCACAAATTTTGGGGTCTTCAGCCTGATTGTTTTCATTTATTTCCTTGTATCCTTAAACCCTTCCAAACCTCACGTTGTAGGAAACCAGGAGAACTAATTAATTCCTGTTTGAACAGGGGTGTGAGGAAGAGAAACACTTGCACCCTCTGTGCAGGTGCTCAGCTTTGCTGATATCCCATTAGCGCTGATTAGTGAGAAAGCAGAACCAGAAAGAAGAGCCAGCTGACCTTGGGGGTGGCTTCACTGCCCCTTTTCTCTTGGCCCAGCATAGCAAAGTTGGCATGGAATGTGAGCAGATCAGATTTGTGGTGTGTTGTACCATGCATGAACCTTTTCCTCTGGAAGCAGGTGAGAACCTGCACATCAGCAGGGTCTGAGGGGCAGCACAGCAGCCTGAGCAGGAGCACGGAGCCCATGGGCTGTGTGAGCACTGTGTGTTGCAGGCTGGGGCAGCACAGGGATCTATCTGATCAGGATCTGTTTCCCCCCATGTGTTGCAGCACAGGGATTTGATCAGGATCTGTTTTCCCCTGTGTGTTGCAGGCTGGGGCAGCGCAGGGATCTGATCAGGAGCTGTTTTCCCCTGTGTGTTGCAGGGTGGTGCAGCACAGGGATGTGATCAGGATCTGTTTTTCCCCATGTGTTTCAGGCTGGGGTAGCTCAGCCTGATCAGGATCTGTTTTCCCCATGTGTTGCAGCACAGGGATGTGATCAGGATCTGTTTTCCCCCTGTGTTGCAGCACAGGGATGTGATCAGGATGTTTTCCCCCTGTGTTGCAGGGTGGTGCAGCACAGGGATGTGATCAGGATCTGTTTTTCCCCACGTGTTTCAGGCTGGGGTAGCTCAGCCTGATCAGGATGTTTTCCCTCCCTGTGTTGCAGGCTGGAGTCGCCCACGCGCGCGCTGGTGATGGAGGCTCCCAAGGGCATCGAGATCAACGCCGAGGCCGGCAGCCTGAAGGCCACGTGCAGGACAGAGCTCAGGCTGGAATCCAAAGATGGAGAGGTGAGTGCAAAGCCCAGCCAAGGGTTCCCTGCAGAGCTGTGTGTCCCACCAGGCTGCTGTGTGTGCCAGCCTGGGCACAGGGGGCTCTCCTGACCTCATTCCTGCTCACCCTGATTGAACACATCCCATGCAAATCAGGCTCACTCCATGGCAAAGGCTGATTCATTATTTTTAAAGTGCATGGATAATAGCATCTGTTGTTCCAGCAGATTTATGCAGCTGTAAAATGCACACCGCTCCTAAATTCTTTGTTTCCTTGTCACTTTAAAACAAGATTTACTTGGCCAGCATAATTAAATCTTTTATCATATATTATTCTATAAGAAGAGCTTAATTCACTGGTATTGATCTGGAAAGCTTTTGTGGCTGATGTTTCATTCTGGAATGAAAGGGAACATTAGGAGACACAGGTTGTTGCACTGGAGAAACTTCCAGAGGGGAAGAGAGAACAATTAAAGCTGATAACTTGGAGCAAAAGTAAAGTAGGTGTTGAGTTAAGCCTCTTCTGGTGTCACAAAATCATGTGGGCACATGGATTTGATGTTTTCTCATCCCCTCCTCCTGCCACAGTGATGGAAGACACCAAAGGATGAGGCTGAGGAGCTCAGTGGAGAAACCACTGGGATCCTTGTCAGGAGGAGCTGCCCATGGAACACAAACCTCCAGGCAAAAGGGCTCACACATAAGATTTACCTGTCTTAGTGTCAGGGCTAAAAAACAGAAAGGCTTTTTAATTGTAGTTTCTGTTATTTCTAAATATTTGCATTTTAAGACAGTCCAAACCTAGACCATGGGTGCTAAGGAAAAGCCTCTGAAAAATACCAGAAAAAAAACCTCAACTTAATACACTGAGATAGAAATCCAAAGCATTTCACAACTTCAAGCAGTTGATGCCAATACTCAGACGCTTTTAAATGCATAAATTGACTTCTGTCTTTCAGGACATGAGATGGGTGGATACTAAACTGGGAGATTCTTACTGTCATTGCTGATATTCTCAGTCACCCTGTATTATTCTGGGGTTCAGGTTATTTTACTGTATTCTGGCTGATGCCAGAGCACTCCCCTGCAGCTGCCACATGTCTGAGAGCTGCCACATGTTGTTTGCCTTATGTTGTTTTGTAAGGAGGGATTTAGGACTGTTAGAGCATTTGAGTTATTTTTAATGTACACAAAAGTGTTACACATATGCATAAAATATGCATAAAATATGCTTAAAATATACATAAAATATACATAAAATATACATAAAATATACATAAAATATACATAAAAGTCAGTGCTGGGAGCCTGCAAGTGTAACTGGCAATGGGATCACAGTGACAGAGATCCTGATGGAGGAGCAGGGTGGCTGGGTGGGTGTGAACCATCCATGCTCTTCATCTGACAGTGGGGTGCCTCTGCTTGGGTCCATCCAGACCTGGGATTGGATTCTGGTGGTGTCCCAGGCAGCCAAAAGCCAAGAAAACACAGTGGGAACATCAGCAGAAACAAACTGGAGGTCGTGGTAAAGGCAGATAATGTGCCCGCCCAGATTTGTATCAGACTTTCCCATCCTCAAACATTTCCCTACCCAGTTTTTGCAGCAGCTGAGCCATCTGGAGGAAGCTTCTTTAAACACAGAAATCAGAAATAACAGCTCTTTCTTTAAATCAGAAATAACAGCTCCCCGCTAATTCTCTCTCTTTTTTTTTTCCCCTCTCTCTTTCCACATTTGACTCCAGATAACGTTGAATTCTGCAAAAATCAAACTACCTAACTTGCCTCAAGGATCTTCCTCTTCTGCAGGGTCCAGGCAAAAAATCTACGAGCTCTGTGTGTGTCCCAATGGGCGGCTGTTCCTGTCACAGGCAGGCAGCAGCTCCACCTGCCAGATAAACACGAGCGTCTGCCTTTGAGGGACACTGTGCACAGGGGCATCACAGGCAGCACAAAAGCCAGTTCTGGTCTCACAGATGATCCAGCTGCCAACTATTTTTACTAGAACACAGAAAGCCTATCAAAGACTTTTTTTGTGTGTGCGCGCGCGTGTGTGTGAATATATATATATAAAAAAATATATATAAGATATATATATATATATCCTCTGTGTAAAATGATGTTTCAGTACAAGGAATCCCAGGGTGACCCTGTTACATTTGTGTAGCATTTCTCTTTCCCACACCAAAATTTACTGGTACAATCTTCTGAATTGGATCTGATGCTCCCCTGGACCCTTCTGTATTAAGACAGTGCAATGATCACCCCTCGTTTTTGATCATGTTCTCAGAGCAATGGGATTGCTGGCTGGGCAAGACCCTGGAACCATTGCAGAGCCACCACCATCCAAAGGGAAGAGAAGCATCTCTGATTATTTTTGTGCCGTTAAATCGGTGGCATGAAAAAGGAATAGTTTTAAAACCAACAAAACAGCCAGATGTGATGTTTTCATCTACAGTGATCCAAGATACCTGAGGTTAAATTACTCTTTAATTATCACCTGAAACATTGGGAGAGAGGGATGCTCTTGGCCAGCAGGAACGTCCAGACCTTCTTGCTGAAATAATAAATATGATTTTCTGAAGGAGTTCAACACTGGCCAAGGATGCCTTGTGCTATTCAAGTGTGACACATCAGGTCCAACATTAACCTAAAATCATCTCTGTGCTGGCAAAACTGGTGTTGTACTTAGTTATTGGAAGGAACAAAATTGTGAAAGTTGGAATAAGTAGAAAAAAATTGAACCTCTTTTGCTAACAGGTGTCCTGGATCACCCTACAAACTCCCCATTGACACCTTCAATTTTGAGCACATTTGCTGTGAAGGTGTGAAGATTTAAGATTTGGACATTGCCTAAATACCTGTAGAAACAGAGAAAATTAACTAGAAACTGAGAAAATCATAAAATTAAGTGAATAATTTAGATGCTACACCAGAATTTTTGTCATCTTTCTTTTCGAGATCTACAGTCCAAGATCACTTAGATTTGGTGGAAACTGCAATTATCAGAGATGCTGACCATGAAATACTTTTTTTAAGGATTTATAAAGATTGTGACAAAGCCACATTATTGAAAGGAAGGGCTTTGGATACTGGTTCCTCTAGAATTTGAGTCCCCAAAACTCTGTGGTTGAATCTTATCATGGTTGCTTTTTTTTTTTTTATTTTAAAGTCTAGGCGTCACGGGCAGGATAAAACACAAAAATCTGATCTGGTAACAGTACTTCCACTTTTAAAGGTTTGGAAAATAATGATAAGAGCCCAGATCATTGAAATCTGACCCATAATTTCATCCACATGTATGTAAAAAATCCTTTAAAAAAACCAAATATACCAATTAAGGCAAAAGTTTCCAAGTGACAACAAATCTCACAAGGACAGCAAGGTTTCTGAGCCACTGAGATGCTTTTGAGATATTACCTCATGTGCAAATAAGACAGATCTGTGCCCATCCCTAGTGATATCTAACCAAAGCTAGTATTCTTCAAGTGATTTTCAAGATAAAACATAGCTGACAGAAATCTTTAGAAATAATTTAGCCAATTCCCTTTTCTTACAGCTTTTCATGTATTTTCTTGTGGTCTCGAGAGTACCAGGGTTTGATTTTTTTAATAATTTTTTATTTTTTAATTAACAATTCTGGCTTAATCCAAAACTGATTGGACTCAGAGAAGATTTCTATGGAGTTTAGATGAGATGTGTTGCTGCCCAACAAAGCAGCACTCCCAAAAACATTTATTCCTGAAAGAGGATTGAATTCTTTCCTTTGATTTCAATAATGCTTTCTGATAAATTAACGTATTCAAACTATTTGTTAATGAATGATTCCTGTAATTATTATGTCTTGAGTCAACATTAGAATGCAAAGGGTCACCCAGGGTAACAATTGTATTGGGACACAGGATGTACCATCTCTGTTCAAAGAGGGGAATTGTGCCTATGCCTTAAGTCAATGCACTCAGCAAGGAGAAGCACATCATATTTATCTTGTTATTAAATCTAGTTTATTTGGGGGGAGGGACAGGAGGGTGTCTTGGGAACTGGTTGTGCAACTTAAAACAGATACTGATGAAATACATTAAGACTGTAGGGACACCTAGAATGATACAGACTTTTTTTTTTCTTACCATGTTAAATATAGCAAAATACTGTGTATGTTACCTCTGGGGCCATGGCTGAAATCCCATTCATAGTCTTGCATTTACTGTAGATTTTTTTTTCCTTGTTTCATTGAATACTGATCACAAACCTCATAGCAAGCATGGCCCAATCCATAACCAAATCCTGTGTGAGCAGTTTGAAGACGTGTGCTGCAGGAAGAGTTCCTGTCAATGAATCAGATTAACTCCCAGCCCTGGGAGTGCTCAGGGGGGTGAGGAAGGCAGGGCTGAGCCCACCAGGGATGCTGCATCCTGATTTCTGTGCTCTGCTCCAGACACAGCAGTGGCTCAGTCCTCGTCCCTGTGCCACCCTCTGGCTGCTCCCAATTTCCATCCCAACAAATTAATTTTGAGTAGCTGCTTTTCCCAGCTGGGCTCTTGGATGAGGTTATCACCTTCTCATGTCACAGCAGCCATGAAACTGCTAAGGACATTCATATCTTGGTGTGAATTTCTGCTAGGGAGCTGTTAGGAAATGACCTTAACATCTGTGCCATCACTGCAGACGCTTCTCTGAGGTGAACAAAAGGTATCTTAATTATATCTACTGAAAAAAATTTTTGTTTCAATATATTTTACAACCTTCAATATATTTTACAACCATGTTTCTGTCTTAAAAATGCATAAAACTATGTGTTGTGTTGAAATGTGAGGAATTGTTTCTAGAAAGAATGAAACCCTGTAGGGACTTGTAGATAATTTGAACACCACCTGAGTTTTAAGTCAGGGGTTTGGGTGATGCTGCCTATGCTGGTCAGCAAGTGGCAAACATAAACACTGGGCAGAGAATGGGTCAGGAATGTTCCTGAGGAGAAGGACGTGGGTTGTTGGTTGAGGAGAAAGAAGCTCAACATGACCTGAAGTGCACTCACAGCCCAGAAAGCCAATCCTGTCCTGGGCTGCATCAAAAGCAGTCGAGGGGGGGAATTCTGAGCCCTTGTGAGACCCCACTGCAGTGCTGGTCCGGCTCTGGGGGTCCCAGCATCAGAAGGGTGGGGACACATTGGGGACCACAAAGGTGCTCTGAGGGCTGAAGCCCCTCTGGGAGTGCTCGGGGTGCTCACCTGGAGAAGAGAAGGCTCCAGGGAGACCTCAGAGCCCCTCCAGGGCCTAAAGGGATCCAGGAGAGCTGGAGAGGGACTTTTTACAAGGGCAGGGAGTAACAGGCATGGAAGAATGGCTTCAAACTGACAGCAGTCTGGGTTGGGTTAAAGATTAGGAAGAAACTCTTTGCTGTGAGGGTGGTGAGGCCCTGGCACAGGCTGCCCAGAGAAGCCGTAGATGCCCCATCCCTGGCAGGGGTTTGTAGTAGCCTGGTCTAGTGGAAGGTGTCCCTGCCCATGGCAAGGGGCTGGAACTGGATGATTTAAGGTCCCTTTCATCCCAAACCATTCTAGGATTCCATGAAAGCAGACCAAACAGGACTGTGTCTCAGATCCCAGGGGAAAAATCAGGCATTTTGTTTAAAAAGCTGCCTGCTAACACTTCCAGCCATCTCACGCTCCACAGTTTGTTGTGAAGGGACTCTCCTGTTGGACAAGGCAAGTGCAGGAGAGTCCCTTCTCCTCCTGCCTTGCCCAGAAATCCCTCACAGTAGCTGTGTGGGCGGCTTTTCCCTGAATCCATTAAATCCAGAGCTTCCCTGACTGTGGAATTTCATCCACGTGCTCTACCTACCACTGATGAAATGCCAGAGACAAACAAGGGGTTGTGTGTTTCTTTGTGAATTGGGCCTGAAGTTCAGTTCAGTGGAGCATTTGCTGTTTGGAGGTGGGGTTGATCTCAAATGGAGTTGAGTTTGTGTCTGCTGAGCTCAGTGGGAGATGGAGATGAGTTCCTGGCCTGAGCTGGGAGCTGAGGGCAGTGGCAGCACTGAACCAGACCCTGCATTGCAGCTGTGAGCACCAAAACCCCACCCAAATGTTCATCAAGGGCCTGTGCCACAGTGTCAGTGCAGCTGGGGCAGCCAATGCAGGGTCTTAAATGCATTTTATGTGTGCTGGCTCTTTGTAGGGCTGCAGGACTCATCCAGTTTGCTGGTCAATGTGACACTTTAGGAAAGGGTCAGAGAATGACAGTCAGTGCTCACCTGTGACAGGAACCTTATCCATATGTATGTGTGAGCCTTCTGTCATAGCTGGTTCTCCTAAAGCAAAAAGACTTTGCCATTAGCAAAAGCAGAGATCCTGCACACCCATTCTCCACGTTTCTTTGTGGGGTTTTTTTGGCTGTTGGTTTGCGTGGGTTTTTTTATTCGTTTTGAAGCATATTACCCCATATGCAAACAGTACAAAGAAATGTTATCAGTAAAGGAAGTCATCAAAAGGGGAAGCTAGTAACTACTACAATATTTATAAAGGCTCTCCTAAGTATTAATTTTTAGAAGGCTGAGTATGTGCAGGAGTGATTTGTATTTGGTTACCTCAGTCATGTGCTGTCTAACAGCTGTGTTTTGGAAGGGTTGTGGGGTTTTTTCTCTTCTTATGATAAATATCATGTTGCACAAACTTTGAAGGCATAAGCCTAAAAATACAGTCTGCAGTATATGGTATAGCAAAATGATGGCTAAATAAAAATACTCCTCCCTAGAAACTGCTCCAAGATTATAGGGAGATTCCTGTGGAACTTGGGAAGGCTAGCTCACATCACAACCTAGTGAAAATTCATTTTGTTGTCATAAGATGCTCACACATGCACACAAATACACACACACACACTCTCATATTTTTTGTTTACAACAAAAGCCAATTTTCTTTGTTTTTTCTTATGGCTTTAAGTTTCACATTGCAAAAGAGAGTGAGACAAAGACCAAAGACTTCAAGAAGTTCATCCCTCTCTGATTGCCCTCATGCCTGAAATGCATTAATTTTAATGGTGCTTTTTCTGAACTGGGTAGGAGAAATGCAGGTGTATCATAAAGCTGCATTTGAGAGGATAAAGTGGCAGGAAGGCTCTAACTTGGTTAGCAGGGAGAGGAGGAAATAATGTGAAAAATCTTGAAATGTGTGCAGAGGGCAAGGTTACCTGAAATCTGAAATGTGGAGAAATAGCCCAGAAAGCTTAAAGACAGCATCCTGGCCTGGAAGTATAAATAAACTGAGCAAATGGTGCCAGCTGTTCACCTGAGCATTAGCAGGGCAGGAGCTCCAGTGGCTGCTTTGTGGAGAAGAGTAACTGCTGCAATGATTTCATTTTAGAAGTACCTACAGTAAAAAAAAAGGAAGAAAAAAAGAAAAAAGGAAAAAAAGTTAGAGGCTGTGCTCTTTTTTATGGCTGACATTTTAAATTCTGAAATGTCATCATCCAGAATTCACCCCAGCAAGCACAGGGCGTGTTCCTGCCAAGCTTTGCCAAGCACCGCTTTGGTGCTTTTGGAATGTGAAAATATCAGCCTTTTTATTGCCCTGGCTGCTCAGGAACGTGATCCTGGCAACTACTCCCTTTTCCCCATTTTAACCTTTTTTTCCTCAGCTCTGAAATCGCTGTGTGATGTTTTGGTAGCTGGCATCCTGCTCCCAAATCCAGCAGGCCCCAAAACCCAAATCCTGCCTGTAGCAGTGGCATGACCATAAAACTGGGACTTCCAGGTAAATTCTGCCTGGCAGTTGCTGTGTATTCACAGCTGATGTAGCCAAGTTTATGGCTGTGAGTGGAGCAGGGTTAAACACTGACGTGGTGCTGAGGTTATTCAAGCAAGAGTGGAGTGAATTAAACAAGGCAGGTAGGAGGGAAGGGGAAGAAATGGGGAGAGACATCACCCTAATCACAGTAATGCAGTCAACGTCTCTGTCCCTTTGCACTATTATACTTTAAATTAATAACATCCATTTTACTAAATATGGTGGCAATTATGCTTGATCTTTTCATGGAGCTCAGTGGAATTACTGTCACTGAAACCACTTAGAGCTCGGGCTGTTCAAGATTGCTGGGGTGTTGTTTCCATCCACAATAACCACAGTGGCTTGGGGCTTGGATGGAAATTACAGTGAATAGCTTGTATTTAGAAAGCTTTTAAGTCTGCTGTGGTTGAGAGGCCCCTGGTTATGCACATCCAGCCCTGAGGCTTTATCATTTCAGCCTCTCTTGTCCTGCCACTTGAATTGTATTGTGCCCTTGTGAAAAGCGACGCACGGTATAAAGAACACAGCAAAAGATGGATATTTAAAGCTGCAGGATTTTTATCTGAAACGAAGAAGGAAATACAATCAGAGTGCCCCACTGAGATTTTCCATCCAAATCACTTTAAACTAGAGGTGCAAGTCCCTTAAAAATTAATTTGCTACAAGTGTCATTCCTGCAGCAAAGTTAGCGCTGGTGTCTCTCCCAGGACATGTCTCACCTTCCTGCAGCTGGGAGCCCTGTGGTGGCTGGGATTTTGTGCCACCAGATGGAGTGATGGAGGAAGTCAGGTTTCCTTTGAGGCAGCTGATCTCCATGGATTGGGCTTTTGTTAGCTTTTAACAGGGATTAAAGAACAGGAGGGGTAAATCCACTGTGAAATGATATGTAATTGTATGTTTGCCTCATTTAGTTGGTTGAAGCTTTCCACCAGGAAGGGAAAATATCAGGAGAAATTTCTGTGAAAATGTTACATTTACATTGTGCCACCAAATACTTCAGATAAAAACATGCAGCTTTAGCTAAACAGCCTTCTCTTCTGAGATTAAAAAGGGTTCTGTGGAGCCTCTCATGGGGTCCTACCCAAATGGAAAGTCTTGCCATTTCCAGCATATTTGTCATTATAGGAACAGGCCCATTGCAAAGCACAAGTCATGTGCATCTTTGCATGTAACAGGAATTTTAAATTGCATTGTACTCTTTCATTTTTTCCCCATTCAAAGGCTTAACCACTGATAGGAGATAAAGCCCTGTGAAACCTTTCCTGCTAAATGCATTTTCTCTTCCTAAAGCAATGTATATCCTTTGGTCTCAAAAATTTCCTCATAATGGAGTCCTTGAAACATCTTGAGGCAGGCTCACACTGGAGAGCAAGAGAGCAATTATTTGTGGGTGGTGCTATTTTTGCTGAAGCTTGGATTGGAGCTGAAATAAATGTTTCTGTTAGAGCTTCTCCCACACTCCCTTAGCTGCAGAGCCCACCAGCTCCACAGCAGGGCTGGATCTCTGCAGGGTGGCTCCCTTAGAGCAGGGAGTGACCTCCCACACCAAGCACTGCCCCATGGTTCTGTCTTCAGCTGGGTCCTCCCCTGGCCCTGTGCACTCTGTGATGGATAAAGAGACATTTTGGCAGTTTTAGTGGTTCTGCAGATGGTACAGATGATGTGGACCTGTGGACCTGCACCCTGAGTGGATAAATGATGCTGTTCATTTTTGGGTGCTGTTCTCATGAGCCTTTGGCCACCTTGAGAGCAGCAGCTCCTCCGGGCAGGCACTGCTGGAGGAATTCAGTGTCTCATCCCTTTTTGTGGGTTATCAGAGCAAGTGAAAATGAGCAAATCCTGCAGAGTCAGTGTGCCAGGAACCTCAGAAAGGGCAGATCTGAGCCAGCAGTGTCCCCTGTGTGTGTCAGAGAAGGGCTGAGGGGACACCATCCACACCTGGATTCCTGCCTAGGCC